AGTAGCGTGAAAAACACAAGTAAAGGTAATGCAAACATTGCCACTGTTTGGGTTCTAGAAAAAAATTTTTCATTAGATTGTTTGACTTCATTCTTCTCCTGGAGTTGAATTAACACATAATTTCAAATGCTCATCTTTTAGTTATACAATTTAGAGGGTGAAACCAATTCCTTTTCTTATTTTCTGGTTAAATACAGGCATTTGGTTTACAGGCTGGTATATACTAGTGATGTATCAAAAAGCAATGTTTTCTAACACTTGGGTGAGTAACTGTAAGAAAATGTGTGAAGCCAAAGTCACTTGTTTAACTAGTATGAGATACAGTTTTTAGTTACTAGTGCTGCTCTAAGGATTAAATGACGCAATGCATGTAAAAGATAGTGCTTACATACAAAGTGCTCACTAAATTTATGATTATAAAAAAAAGAAACCCTATGCAAGAACTCAAAAACAAGTGTGTCTTTAGCTAAACTGAGTGGTTTGAAACATCAGAAATAATACTTTCCAGTTATATATATATATTTCCATGACAGTTCATAGTTGAAATTCTTTCCCACATGCAAAAGAACAAGATGTTCTTTATTTTTACTGTAAAGAGCTGAGTAGACAGTAAAGTCATCTTTTACATATAGGAAACTGGAAATGTTATTTCAGACTTCTAAATCATATTAACTGACTGGTTTTTCAGCATAACTCTTTTAACATTAATGGTCTCACAGTGTACCACAATATATTAATAAACAAATTACTTCTAAAAAATAGATGTTCTTTTACTTCTCAACCTAAAGTTTATTTTATAAACTCTTAATTATCATCTTTACTAGATATGAAACACCTTTGCCAGAGATGGTATTCACACCTGATTATAAGTTTGCCCAAATCTAAGTAATCAAATCGCTGTCAAGGCAAAAATAAAATAATAACATAAGGGTCAGACTATGAGCTTGTCATAGTTAAACTCATTTTACTAAATGGAAATTCTAACACAAGCAGAGAAAACCTATGTGTTGAGGGAAGATGTCCAACTGTTCTACATTACTGCATCTGTTCAAGATTCATTTAATTCAGCAAATGTACAGTAAAATAGTAGTATTTCTATATTACTCTCTCATTTTAAGACTTCACATCAGTATTTCATAGACTCCTGAACGAGAACTCTTTAGCTATTGTGTTTTTTTTTTTTAAATCATTGTTTAAAAAAATGTTTTAACTGGCAGATAAAACTACCAGATAAGAAAGGTTTGTGCTTCTCTAAGTATTTAGACTACGCCCTACAGGTGCAAAAGAAAGAACACAGGACTATGAGTCAGGTGACTTAGGGCCCTGAACCTCAGTTAGCCGAGTTGTAAAAGGTGTACAAGGTGTACAAGTTGTACAAGATGCAGCCTTGTAAAAGTTACTCTGGGGCTCAGTAAGTTCAGTTTTCCTCAGCAGTAAAATGAGAACCAAATTATCTCACATTTAAATAACAATTAACCGTTTCTGGAGTGCTTTGGTATGTTGCCTCTCCGTGGAGGTTTTCAAGACCGGACGGACGGGCGGGAAAAGACAGTATCAGTGCTCCCGTTCTATAGCAAGAGATTTCCTAGAACTGTTGGGAGGATCACACAACACTGCAAAATGGCAAAACACCAATACAATTCTAAGACAGAAGCATGCATCCCGCATTCCTAGTCGCTCTGGAAGAATGAACTTCAAGTATGACAATCACAACGGCTGAGTGATTAAATAAGCTATTCACAGGAGTAAAAGGTTTTAAAAAGGCTAAAAATAAAAGGAAGCAAATAAAAGTTGATCTACTCTCTTTCAGTATGGAAAGTTTTTTTTTTTTATAAGTATAGGTTATATATAGTCGTAGAAAAATCTCTACGGGTAGTCACCAAAAGATTAATAGTGGTTAGCTCTGAGTGGCGGGAATACGGATGACTTTGATCTTTTTATCTCTGTTTTTAAAAAAACAAACATGAACTAGTTGTTATTCTAAACAAGTCACGGCACTTACCCACCGGTAGGTTACACGCCGTGTTTAAAAGCTCTAATTATAACAACAGAGACAAATCCCAGCAACCCACCGGGATTTCAAGGACACAAGCAGAAAGCTCAGAAATCAGTTTAAAAAAATTTTAAAAAAAAAAGTGGTAAATGTCCCCGCGCAACTTGACATCTGTGACAACCCATTTTCAACTTGATTTCAGAGGAAGCTGGTAACTCTGGTCTTGCCTGCCAAACCTCAGAACAAAAATTCCCCCTTGCACCTCCCAGCTTTCGAGGAGGAAAGGCTAGGGGGCGGCAAGCGTTCGTCAACCGAGCGTAGGGGGATGGGAGGGAGCCTCGAACTGGGTGCTGCAAAGGTCCCTCCGCCCCCATCCCGTGCTGGGCGACGGCTGGGAGCGACCGGCTTCGAAGCAGGCCACCACAAGGGGCTTCCCGACGTGGCCCAACTTGCTCTCCCAACCCGACGAGCCCAAGCCCCCATCTTACAGGGTTTCTTGGCATCCTTAATCTTCATGGCGTCGGCCTGAGGGGCGAGAGGCAGCCTCGGGTACGGCGCGCAGAGGGTTGCGGCGAAGACTCCGGAGGTAGCTGGGCCGCGCGGGGAGGCCCGGCCGGTTCCTCCCCTCGGGCCGGGCGGGGCGGGCCAAGGGCGGGGCGGGGGCGCCTGAGATTAGGCCCCGGCCCAGGGGGCGGCCCCCCCCACCCCCGCGAGGGGCGGCCGGGACCGAGCGAGCAGGGGAAGGCCGCCGGCCTCGCCGCTCCGGGGCCCCCCGCCGCCGCTCCAAACAAAAGGCCCCGGTCCCCCGAGCCGCCGCCGCCGCACTGAGAAGCAGCCCGCCCAGGCCCAGCGCCCACGTGACGCGAGGGCCCCCTCTCTTCGCTCTCCGCCCGGCTGCTGGGGATTGTAGTTCCCCGGGTCGCAAGGCCCAGCTCTCAGGCTGCAGCCTTACAGATGGACTACAAAACCCAGGATGCATCGCGGGCCCTCCTCCGAGGCCCCTCCGCTTTCGGAGATGGCCTCAGAGTGGTCCCAGAGAGAAGGGGGCGGGGCCTTAATCACGCCAGCGACGGGGCTACCAATGGTGGCTGATGTGGGCGGGCTCCCGAACCCTAGAGCTGAAGCCTCGCGCCGCCGCCGAGGGAGAAGGGGAAGGGAAGTCTTTGCTGGTACTATCATGGCAGTTCTGCAAGTCGCAGACTTCCTTTGGAGGCAGAAAACCTGGTCAGTGTGCCAGGGAAAGCGGTAAATACAGGGCTCTAGAGCCGCTCTTTAGACAGACCAGTGAATGCATTTGTAAATTAAAGTCATTCACGAAGGAATCCCCTTGCTTAATAGAGACACCGCGAATGCAGGAGTTGGAATGATGATGATAGTAATGGCAATAGCAATGATAGGTAATAATAGGCACTCTGCTGAGCTCTTTTGGGGAATTATTTGATTTAATTAAGTAACTTTGTGAAGTTCGTGCAATTATTATCTATCACTCCTTTTGAAGATGGGACAGGAACTGAGAAGTTAAGTCACTTGGGAACACATGCCCTTTGCCGCAGTTCCTTGGTCCCCTCAGGGGCCCTGTAGCCCAGCTCCCTCCTTCCAAAGGGGAAGTTGACCCCCAGAAAAGAAAATTAGGTGCTACAGTTCTCCCTCCTTTCCCTGTGCCTGCTAGATTCTGAGTTCTCTAGCTGGAATGGGAAGGGACAGCACAGGGAGCTCTTCTCCTGGCCTCCCCTCCCCCAATTAGCTGACCAGGAATTTAGTGACTTTGGCAATAGATGGTTTGAGAGTTGGCAATGGAGGATTGAGCCTTATTGCACCTTCTTTGTGGAGGATATGACAAGGATTGTGAATAAGAACCGGAAGGGACACAAACGATCATTTAGGGAACATGAACAAAGAGCTAGCTTGAAATATAATGATTGAAATATAATGATTAAGAGCTTAAACTTGAATTCACATCTTGGTTCTGCGATTTGGTTATAAATTTGGGCAAATTACTTCATCTCTCTGATTCTCATTGGGAATGATGATGCCTACATCTCCTGGGATTGAGATGAAGATTGAGTTGAAAGAAGGCATATAAAGTGCTTACCTCGTTGCCTGTTGTAGAGATAGCAATCAGTAAGTGATGACTATGTTTTTATTGCCATTGTTATCCTTACTGTAAAGATAAGGTAGAAAGATTAAGTATCTAGACTGTTTGTCCAAGGTATTATTTAGGATTGGACCTGAGGTCTGATTGGTGCTTTGTGGTTCCTTATCTTTTGTTATTTTGATCTCAGTTTCCACATTTGTTATTTAGAAATATATTTTTATTTATATTTTTTATAGAAACATTCTTCTGAGCTCCCAGATATGTGACCTGATAACTTAGAACCCTGAGTGGGTTCTAAGTTAACCTTCTTTTCCTCTTATTTTCCCCAAGTCATTCCATCCCACACAGAACACTCGATATTCTTGAATGGTCCTGTTTTCCCACATTTTTTTGGAGTGAGAGCCATGACTTCTGATTGACATGGCTTCAAAGAGTGTTCACTATCTCATATGATTCACCTGCTGCTTAAGTCTCGTGTGCAACCCTGTTGTCTACCAACAGATATTCCTGCCTCATTTGGTAGCACCTGCTTGGAAGTCAAAGGGGAAGTGATACCTGTGCCTTGTAATAGGCTGGCCATGAACCAAGAGGAAAGTGAGCTGGAAATGAGAGCCATAGAAATTTTTTTTTTTTTTTTTTTTTTTGCGGTACGCAGGCCTCTCACTGTTGTGGCCTCTCCCGTTGCAGAGCACAGGCTCCGGACGCGCAGGCTTAGCGGCCATGACTCACGGGCCCAGCCACTTCGCGGCATGTGGGATCTTCCCGGACTGGGGCACGAACCCTTGTCCCCTGCATCGGCAGGCAGACTCTCAACCACTGCGCCACCAGGGAAGCCCGAGCCATAGGAATTTGGGTAAGTTTTTTGTTTTTGTTTTTTTGGCCGCGGGGCACGGCTTGTGGGATCTTAGTTCCCTGACCAGGGATTGAACCTGGGCCCATAGCAGTGAAAGCGTGGAGTCCTAACCACTGCACCGCCACACCAGGGAATTCCCTTGGGTAAGTTTTGGACACAGGCTTTTGCTAGTTTCTGTGGCCATACATGGATAACTTAGTTTAATTTAGCTTCAGTGTTAGGCTTGCACCTGTGTTGTCGTGTGTGAGAAAAACACTGACCTTCAAATAGTGAGAATCCTAGCCTTAGATCAGTTATGGAATTTCTGTATGACCCTGGGAAAGTCCTTTCTCCACTCTGGGTTCAAGTTACACATCTGTAAAATGAAACAATTGTTTGAGATTTCTTCCATCTCTGAATTGAGGTTCATTAACATATGCCTCTTTTTTAGGAGCAGTAGGAGATGAGTTCAAGTTTTCCCCAGTGTTACTGAAACTGACAGGTCATCATGCTTCAGTTTCTGGCCAGAATCTTTCTTCTGCAGCCCCTGTTGGCTATCAGCCCTAATCCCTCCCTCCAGCGCTGTCTGGTCAACTGCATTTTCTCTCTTCCCTAGCATGTCCTCAGAATCCTTCCGGCAGAGTGAGTGCAGGAGCTGCAAAGAACATCTAAAGGGTCCAAGAGAAGTTCTTGATCTGAGCACTTCCTGTCTCAATATTTATTGTCTACCAAACACAGTTAATCCGCCCCATCTTGCAGAGTGACAGAGGAGACCTGACACCTGCTCATTTTGCTTTTACTGAGTGGGTCTCCCTGGAGACAGGTGGTAGATTGTACCTAATGATGACTGTGAGGTCTCCTGGTATGAAGAAAACACACACACACAAACACAAACACACACACATTCTAGCTTCAAAGCCCAGACCAAGCTGGTAACAATGGGTTCTGTCTCTAATTAGATGGTCAAGAACATGCTCCAGTCAGTCCTTGAATCCACAGAATCAAACCAGCGTCTCATCGTGGGGAGCGTCATTAGCATGAGCGTCATCGACATCATCATTACCATCATCATCACCATCACGCTAGTGGAAACACAGTTCTGTCCAACAAATAATAATTGAGCCTTGACTCTGTTCTGGACACTGGAATACATGCCGGGGGAGAGAGAGGTAAGAAAGAGAGAAACAATAATCAAGTCAACAATTCAGTAAACGGCTTGTGGAGAACAGGCTGTGATAAGTGATGTGAAGGCAGTAACCAGGTGGACGTGCTGGAGGGTGCCTGGGATTGCAGGAGAGGAGGAGGGCTGCACTTCAGCTTGGATGGTCAGAGAAGGCTTCTCTGAGGAGGCGGTGTATGAGCGGAGATCCCTGCAGATTGCTGGGGAGGACAGAGGTGTGGCTGGTACTGAAGGTCAGTTGGGTGGAGGGACAGAAGCAGAGCACGTGGAGTAGAGAGCAAGGGGTAAAGTGATCGGAGGTGGAGTTGCAGAGGTGGGCATGCTGGGCCTTGAGGACCACTGGAAGATTTTAAGCAGGGGAGTGAGATGATCTCTGATCTTAGAGGGCTACTCCGGCTGCTTCGTGAAAAATGGGTGGATTGGAGAGGTACCAGGACTTGTAAAGGCTCGTCACCTCGGGCTCCTCCCCCTCCGTCCTGGCCCACATGCCATCAGTTGCCAAGTGTGCGCTGGAAGCACTCCGGGAACTGTGAGAGGGTTTGAATCCGTGTGGTGGCAGCAGAGAGAGCGAGAGAGAAGTGCTCAGATGCGGAACGTCATTTAAGAAACGCTTATGGAGTTCCTACAGTGCGCCAGGCACTGTTGTAGGGATGAGGGATATGATGAAGAACAGGACAAAGCCCCCATCCTCTTGGAGCTTATATTCCAATGGGGACATAGTCAGCAAGCAAGTAGACCGACGTAGAGTGTTAGATTCAGTAGTATAAATTAGATAGTATATGTAGATAGCATAAATGCTTATGAAGATAACAACGCAGGATGAGGGATCACGAGTGACGGGGTGTTTGAGAGATAGAGTGGTGGTTGAAGATGAATTAGATGAAGTGGGTGGGGGGAGGGAAAGGGAGGCTTGAAGGGTAAGTTGTAGGGTTTGGGCTTGAGCTCTAGGGTGTACGGTAGTGTCACTTACAAAGAAGGGGAGCATGGGGAATAAATAAGCGGGACATCAAGGGTTCTGCCTTGGTCTTACTGATCCTCTAGGGCAGCGCTCCCCAACCTTTTTGGCACCAGGGACCGGTTTCGTGGAAGACAGTTTTTCCACGGTTTGGGGCCGGGAGGGGGATGGTCCAGGCGGCAGATGAAGCTTTGCTCACTCAGCCGCCACTCACCTCCGGTTCCTAACAGGCCTCGGACCTGTACTGGTCCTTGGCCCAGGGGTTGGGGACCCCTGCTCTAGGGCCATCCTCTCCTCAGATGCGGGACACAACGCATGCTTTGTTATAGCAGTCAGCTGGTTTCAGTAGTTGACGGTTTGCATCTTAGAGGCACCCACAGCTTGGGTGTCACATACTCCTGCCCTGCCCAGGAATGAGTCCTGTCAGGTATTTCCCTGTGGGAACAGAGAAGAGCCTCTCTCTGGAGCTCTGCCCTGCCCGCTGATCCCCACCCCCTGGCTCAGTAACCTTAGCTAGTCCAGATAGGAGCTCGTCGTCCTCCCACCCCCTCTTCTCTTGCCCACTCACTTTCCTAAAGGCCCTGCCTCAGCTCATGGTACCAGCACCCACCCACTCGCCCAGCACAGAAAGTTGGGCGTCATCCTGGCCTCCTCTCGCCCCCTCACAGTCCACATCCAGCCAGTCACCCGGTCCTCTTGTTGTTATCCTCGCATCTACTCCTTCCTGTCTAACCTCACTGCTCTCGTCTGAGCACCAGCCTCTGCATCTGACATTTATACTCTTAAAGGTCCTTCCTGCCTCTTGGCTGACTTTATCCCATCTGGCCTCCTTACTGATGCCAGAGTGAGTTTTCTCAAAAGCAAACCAGACTGTATCATTTCCAGGGCTTAGAACCATGCCTCTCCCGCAGTATTGTCTTCAGGATAAAATCCCATCCTAGGACATAAGACCCATCGTGATTGGATGCTGGGAACCTCTTTAGCTGTATCTCTTGCCTCTCTGCACCCTTCATTATATGCTCTGGTAAGACAAAACTGCTTATAGTAAACTGAGTACATGCTACTGCCCATTGCTGTTACCTCTTATGCATGTGTAAACCTCTCTCTTGAGTTCCCATTGAAAGCCTATTTATACTTTAAAACCCAACCCAGAAACCCCCTCCTCTGGAAAGACTTCCTTTCCTCTATGCTACTTCTGGTCCCTGTACATGCTTCTATGTTTACCACTCATTGCATTATAACATAGCGGTCCATTTACTCACCTGTCTCCTTCAATACCAGATGAACTCTTTGAGGGCTAGGGTTGTGACTTATTCTGCTTGATATCCGCAAGTCTAGTATGGGGTCTGATCCAGGAAGTTGGCTCACAAATGATTAAATTGGATGAGTTTGGGTTCAAGTCCTTCAGATGCAACCTGGAAACTCATCCTTCTAGAAACTTCCAGAACCAATAATTACTGACAACAAAGGCAATTTAGTAGGAGTGAATCGTACTTTATGGGCATAACACTGAAGAGCGTAGCACCCGGGAACCATTGTGTATTTCCTAACACCATGTTTAATCAGGGACAGCTCTAATTATAGACGGACCTCTTCCTGGCCCTGGGACATGTACGCAAGTGTATTTATTTATAAAGGCTTTGACCATATTAGAGCAGAGTGCAATGGTTAAAAGCTAGACATCACAATCCAGCAGAACTAGGTCCTGATCTCTGATTGATTGTGAAGCTTTCGAGTGGTACTTTTTCCTCTCTGTGTCTTGGTTTCCTCATCTGTAAAATGAGGATAAAAATGGCTCCCATGCCTTCAGCCTTTGTGAAGACGAAATGACTTCCTGCATCTAAAGTGCTTGATACAGTCGCTGGCCATGACAACTCTGGTGGTGACTCCTGCAGAGACAAAGCATTCACGCTGATATTCAAGCTGCCATTTAAATGTCTCTTCTGCTCTCACTACCGTATGCAAGCAGACTAGATTAGGGTGCCTGTTTGACATCTTAGAAAACTTTAGGACTTTTGTTCATAGCATTCATCGTGACACTGTTTGCGTCATATTTCGTCTGACTTCCTGACTCAGCTCAGAAAGATCCCAGAGGACAAGGACTGTGTTTTTTAATCCTTAACTCTTAGCACAGTTCCTGACACAGAGAAAGCTCTCATTGAATATTTGAATGACTGAGCAAGTCTTTCTTACTAGCATGCTATCTTGGCATGGGGTATTTATGTGTGTGTGTGTGTGTGTGTGTGTGTGTGTGCGCGTGTATGTGTTTGGGGGGCTATTTGGTGAGGTTAGAAGTGAAAGCACTGATAGAAAGCCCATGGTGATGGAGAATGGGGGCAGATTCTGGTTAGGGAGCTCTGCACCAGTATAATTAGAGATTAAGAGCACATAAGGACAGGCCCCGGCATCACAGGATTTTTCAGGCTGTCACTGCCTTAGGCTGTGAGGCCAGTGTGTATAATAAAAATAGTTTGCACAGTTCTGCTTTGGAAATCAGGACTCTGACTGAGAGCTTAGCCAACTAGCCAGCAAGAATAGCTTTCTGGAGCTTGGAGCCTCATGAAAATTCCAAAACTGGGGAATAATAAAAAAAAATAGGTTTGTTTGCTGGCTTTGAAAAACTACATTAAAAAAAAAAAAGCAAAAAACCTTCTCAATATTCTCTTCATCTGCAATACAAATTGTCAGACACTTCCTGTGCACCAGCCCACAGAAGAGAGGAAGAAGGAGCCAGGAATAAAGCAGGTGCTTCATAGGAAGTCATTGGCTAAGGCATGAAGAAGAGTAAGGAGTACGGTGTGGTCGCCAGACTAATGCTAATCTAAGCGTGGGGCACAGGTGAGTGCCGACACCACCTGTTTGTGATTAGCTCCCCATTCGATAGGGAGCTTGCCACAGAATGTAATACATCAACGACATCACTAGGCACACTGTTTGCAGTTCAGCCGCTATTTTTTTCATAGCAAGATATGCTCCATGAAAGTAGCATTGTATTCTTCCCTGTTTTGGTGCAGTCCGTCACTGCCTTAGGCTTGGACCGGTAACAGATAGTTCTCTGACCAGCTGCTTTGAGCAGCACTGGTCTAGAGCATGGACTTCAAAATCAGTCAGACTCAGCTCTGCTGCTTAAGCGAGTCTCCTGAGCTGTCTGAGCTTTGGATTCCAAGTCTGCAAAATGGAGAGTCATTCATTCAAAACAAAGTTTGAGCACACACTGTATACTAGGCACTGTTCTGTGAGTTGAGGATATTGCAGTGACCCTGGCTGATAGGATTCCTGCTTTCATGGGGCCTACAGATAAAGAAGTGAGATAATTACAGCTTATGATAAGTGCTGTTAAGAAAGTCAACTGACTCTTTGATGTGTGTGTAACAGATTGGATGGTTAGGGAGGTTTAAGAAGGAATCAGCTGTGCGAAGAACTCAAGAAAGAGTACTCTAAGCAGAGGCGAGAGCAAGTGCAAAGGCTCTGAGGCATGCTGGGGGAAACAAGAAGATGGCCAGCGTGCCTGGAGTGGAATGAGGGAGGGGAGGTAGAGCATGGGGAGAGGTGAGGTCAGAGAGGATCCAGTTCATGCAAGGCTTAGGAGGGCACAGGGAAGAGTTTGGATTCCATTCTAGAAGCAATGTGATACCATTGGAGGGTTTTAAACCAGACAGAGTTTTTTTTCTGAACCATGTTAAAGAGTTTGGACTTTGTTCAAAGAACAACAGGGACCCACCAAAGATTTAAAAGCCTGAGAGTGTCAGGATTAGAAGCACATTTTATAAAGTTTACTTGGGTTGTGGTAAAGATAGCAGTTAGGTGGGACTAGAGGCAAAGAGACCAGGGCTTCCCCATTGGCGCAGTGGTTGGGAGTCCGCCTGCCGATGCAGGGGACTTGGGTTCGTGCCCTGGGCCAGGAAGATCCCACATGCCGTGGAGTGGCTGGGCCCGTGAGTCATGGCCGCTGAGCCTGCGCGTCTGGAGCCTGTGCTCTGCAATGGGAGAGGCCACAACAGTGAGAGGCCCACGTACCGTTAAAAAAAAAAAAAAGAGACCAGCTAGGGGAAGACATTCTGGTGGAATGAGTGAAGAAGTGTAAGAATGACCGAATTAACATCCTTAACTGGATCGCAAGCTTCCTTATGTCATGAGCCTCACCGCCTCTTGCTTTGGCTGTTCTGTGGCATGAACTTTAGGTCTTTGTGAAAGTCAGTTTTTAATTAACATTCAACTAGCTGAATTGACTAGCTAACATGAAATCAAACTAGATCCTCCATCCACTCTTCAGAAACTGACTGCTTGTGTACAGCGCTGGTCTTGTCCATGGTATAGAAGTCTATCTCCTTTACCTTGTTCTCCTCTCACCTCTCACTTCATACCCACTGATGCTCAAGTCTAGGTGAGCCTATTTCCAACAGCAACTGTACTAGAGGGATTTCCATCTGGAACCAAACAAATGCCTAAGCCCTATTTGGAATGCGTATTTCCACAGTCATCCAGCCAGTGTTGCACAAGGCAAACTGGCACTTGGTCAGCCTGCTTAAAAGAGCTCTTAGTGCTCTTACATGAGAGGCGGGCTGTTCATCACCAGAGACCTTGCTAGCCATCATGTTGGCAACAATGATGAGAGCTGTTTTTTGAGCAACTACCAGGCACTGGGCTAAGGGATTTACGTTTATTCTCTGATTTTAAACCTCACAACAACCTTATATGATAGGTGTTCTTAACTAACTCTATTTTAATGAGAAAGGAACTGGGAATCAGAGAGGCTAGGTAGCTTATCTAATGTCATACAACTCATCGGATGCCTACCAGGATTTGAATGTAGTTCTTGCTGATTCCAAAGCCTTGTGTCATTTTAATAGTAAATTTTAATTTATTTTTTTATTTTAGTGACTCCTTATAATTTTTAAAGTTATTTATGCTCATTGTCACACATTCCAACAATTTGAGATTATATAAACTACTGAAAGTATTTGTTCTGGTTATCGATTGCTGTGTAACAAATCACTCCAAAGCTTAGTGGCTTCAAAACATTCATTTAATTATTACCTCAGATGGTTCTGGGACCTGACTGGGCTCTCCTAGTTGTGTCTCTCTCACTGTCTGTCATCTGGTTGTGGTCGGATATCAGCCAGGGCTGGAGTCATCTTAAAGCATTTCTTACCCTCAGGTCTGGCCCCTGAGGCTGACTGGGATCTCCCTGGGACTCTCTGCTGGAACACATACACTTGGCCTCTCGCTGTGGCCTGGACTCCCTCAAAGTGTGATAGGTGGGATCCAAAAGGAAACGGAAGGAAGTAGAAGCTGCTCATTTCTAAAGGCCTGGGCCAGAAATGGGCAAAGGGCCACTTCTGCTATTTTCTATGGATCAAGCCAAGATTGAGGGGAAGGAGACATTCCATGAACGTCAAAGAATTTAGAGGCCATATTTAAAAACTGCCACAGTCTGCTTCTGACCACAAATTATTTCTTTTCCTCTTTCAGCAAAATGAACTTGTTCCATCACGAGACGCTCCCAAACTTCTCATGCCATCAGGTTCAGGCTTGAAGTCCAGGATCTCGTCTTTGGTATCATTTCCAGGTATGACTGGAGGTGCCTTGAGTGTGGTTTCTTAGTTACAGCTCTTCAAGAATGAGTCTTTTTTTTTTATGAATTACAAAAATTTTATTTATTTATTTATTTATTTTTGGCTGCATTGGGTCTTCGCTGCTGCGCGCGGGCTTTCTCTAGTTGTGGCGAGCAGGTGCTACTCTTCGTTGCGGTGCACGGGCTTCTCATTGCAGTGGCTCCTCTTGTTGCGGAGCATGGGCTCTAGGTGCACAGGCTTCAGCAGTTGTGGCATGCAGGCTCAGTAGTTGTGGCTCATGGGCTTTGTTGCTCTGTGGCATGTGGGATCTTCCCAGACCAGGGCTCAAACCCGTGTCCCCTGCATTGGCAGGCATATTCTTAACCACTGCACCACCGACCGGGGAAGCCCAAGAATGAGTCTTGATCTGAGTATCTGTGAAGTAAAAAGATAACTTACCTGTCTTCCATACCTAACATCCATCTGTGGGCTAGGCATCTGAATGCTGCAGTAAATGTATTGTGGGTTCCTTGATTAGGGTCCAGTTCTAGTCAATGTTTCTCTGCAGCTCTGCCTGTTACCCGCAAACTGGGTTTACCTCTTGGTGGATGTGGAAGCCAAATGACATAACCAAGTCAAAGAGTGGGAGAAGGAAGGATTTATTACTTGCAGTAAGCAAGGAGAACACCTGGGATCTTCCCCCAAACAAAACTGGGGAAGTTTTAAGCTAAGGGTATATACATATTCATGAAGGGGCTGGAGCAGAGAATTTAGCCTAGAATTGGGGCAAAGGTTGACAGAGCTTGAGTTGACTGAAGTCGTGAGGGTCAGGAAAGGTCAATATTATCATTCGTTAGGTTCTGAGCAGCCTGGGGTCTTAGCATGCAGTTAGCATCCTCCATCTGGGTGGGGGGCCTTAGTTCCTACAGAAGTCAGAGCTCTGTATCATAGTGTTATGTATCTCCTTCTCTTTTTGTTCAAACTGATTCTAAAAAAACTTTGAGGATTTTTATGATTTTTACTGGAGTTCCTTGCATGGGGAAAAAAACCATGACACAAATCTTTTTGGCTCCTGTAAGTCCTTTTCTACCTTGGATGCCTTTTCAAACCACTGTGGGACAGCGCCCTTAAGAATCTCAGAAATCCTGTTGTTTATGGAGATAGGAAGGCACACCCTCAAGCTCTTTAGAAGGATTTTGTCTGTTTGGAATGGTTGATGAAGTACCTTAAGCCTCTCTGAGCTCTTAACAAAAGATGCAATGCTCATCCTTTGCTGGAAAGCCATTTTAATTTGAGAATAGTTTGCCCTCTGGAGAAGCTGGGAGTGAGAAGTAGTTTTATTTTCAAACCCAGAAAACACTGGCTTTTACATAACCTCTGCGTTCTGCTTGAAAACCAAAAAAGTTCCTTTTTTTAGCTTCTCTCTCTTCTTTGTATTTTACTAGAGGCAGGTTGGTCAGATCATCATGTTTATGAGGTATGTTTCCTACTTTTTGGCATTACAGCAGACAACAGTGTCACCAAACTTTCTGAAACCGTGCACCTCAGATTGGGACCTGAACCCACACAGCCGAGACTTGAACCTGGCCAAAACCCACAGTCTTCCAACTGAGATCACACACCTGGTTTCAGGGCTTAATGAAGCTCAGGGTTTTTTTTGTTTTTCTTTTTTGCGGTACGCAGGCCTCTCACTGTTGTGGCCTCTCCCGTTGTGGAGCACAGGCTCCGGACGCGCAGGCTCAGCGGCCATGGCTCAACGGCCCCAGCCGCTCCGCGGCATGTGGGATCTTCCTGGACCGGGGCACGAACCTGTGTCCCCTGTATCGGCAGGCGGGCTCTCAACCGCTGCACCACCAGGGAAGCCCAAAGCTCAGGTTCTTGATGTCTCATTGTAGAAAGAATTTAGTGAGAGACAAAGTGATAGGTAAGAAATGGATTTATTTAGAGAGAAACATACTCCACAGAGTATGGGCCACCTCAGAAGGCGAGAGCGGCCTTGGGAGAAACACACGCCACAGACAGAGTGTGGGCCACCTCAGAAGGTGAGAAAGGCAGCAGGGTATGGGAGGTTGTTAGTTTTTATAGTGGTGGGTAATTTCATAGGCTAATGAGTGGGAGGAGCATTCCAGCTATTTCGGGAAGGGGCGGGCATTTCCAGGAATTGGGCCACCGCCCACTTTTTGATCCTTATGGTTGATCTTGGAACTGTCATGGCGCCTGTGGGTGTGTCATTTAGCTTGCTGATGTGAGCGTATACTGAAGCTCAAGGTCTAGTGGAAGTCGACTTGTCCACCATCTTGCACCCATTTGGTTCTAATCAGTTTATATCATATCCTCGGGCTATGTCATTCTTTCAAAGCTTGTGCCCTGCCTCCCTCCCTCCTGTTTCATTTCCCCCACCCACAGGGGTCCCCTTTTGCTTATGGTCCTCAGGCTTGACAAGGCTCATTTAGCCAGTTCTCTGTCAGAGTCTCTCATGAAGTTGCAGTCGTCTGGCTGCGGCCAGAGTCATCTTGAAGAATGGCCCAGGCTACACCCATCTAATCCCTCCTCTGGGAATTATCACTGGGGTATTGACAGAGGAAGCCAGTTAACTAAGGGCAGCCAAGCCGAGAGACATGGGGACTTTTAGAGTCAAAGTGGGGCTGAGCGTAGTATATTACTAGACTATATGCAAGACGGTTGAGAAGAAAGTCATCTTTTGGGAGACAAAACGGAGGTAGAGATGACAGAGAGCACTGGGCACTCTGATTCCTGGTGGCTTTCTAAGCCCATATGTTCTGTCTGGGCTTTGTTTCCATAATACCTTTGCATTCTCACCATAAACTTCCATTTTGACTTGATTCTGAAACAGGAGGGAAGGAGGCAGTCCACGACCTTTGAAAGAATGACATAGCCCGAGGACCATGTTTCCACATGTTGCCAAAGGGCCCCAGGCGGGTAGGGGTGGGCAAAATCGATCCCAGTTGCAAATCCTCACTTTAGATAAAAAGCAGACATTTTTGCATAAAACTACAGACCCCAACGTTGACCTCTGCATCTGACTTCCCAATCCATCTGACTCCTTTCCCCTGGGTTTTTGCCTCCAAAACTAAATGGCATCAGGAGGAAGTAGGTACCAATGCCAATTTTATAATGTTGACACTGAAGAAAGGAAAATCTGCATAGCCCCCTCCTCCCTTCCTCTCTGAGGCCAAGCCCAGTCCTGCCTGTTTAATTACCTCCAGTGATTTCAGCATTAACTAGGTCTGCTGATCCACCCTGCTGTGAAGAACAACAGTCTTGACCAGATCTGATAGTGCAGAGAAATGGGAACCTTTCCCTAGTACCTTTCATGTGGGTCCCAGCTTGGGTTGAGGGTCATGGCTTTGGTGGGTCATAGTTGGAACACATTTGGCATTGGCATTGGCATTGTCTGAGGGTGAGGAAGGGATTCTGTTTCCACCGGTTGCTCTACAGTATCACAGTGGGTCATGGGCATAGCAGTCTGATTAGTGTAGAAACTGAATTTGCATGGCAAGAATATGATTTATCCATAGAACTATAAAAGTACCTTAGTTTCCCAAAAAGTCCTTTGTTTATATAAGTTTGAGAAAGAATCAGTTGTCCTTGTTAAATATTATGGTGATGATGATAATGATTTCATCTGGGGGTAGTGGCTTTCTCCTGGCCCTCTGCTATCAGAGCCTGTGGGGCAGGACGGGCCTGGCTTTCTGATCCTCTGTCTTACTACTTTTTTGTTTTTGGCTGCATTGGGTCTTCATTGCTGCACGCGAGCTTTCTCTGCTTGTGGTGAGCAGGGGCTACTCTTCGTTGCGGTGTGTGAGATTCTCATTGCGGTGGCTTCTCCTGTCGCGGAGCATGGGCTCTAGGTGCGCGGACTTCAGTAGTTGCAGCATGTGGGCTCAGTAATTGCAGCATGCAGGCCCTAGAGCACGCAAGCTTCAGTAGTTGCGGCGCGTGGGCTCAGTAGTTGTGGCTCTCAGGCTGTAGCGCACAGGCTCAGTAGCTGTGGTGCGTGGGCTTAGTTGCCCTGCGGCATGTGGGATCTTCCCAGACCAGGGATCGAACCTGTGTCCCCTGCATTGGCAGGCAGATTCTTAACCACTGTGCTACCAGGGAAGTCCTGTCTTACTACTTTCTCTCTTGCTCATTTACCCGCCTTCTGCTGTTCTTTGACTACCAAGCTCCTACAAGGCCTTTTTTTTGTTTTTAATTGAAATATAGAATATAGTTGATTTACAACGTTGTATTAGTTTCAGGTATACAGCAAAGTGAGAGATTGGTTCAAGATGGCAGAATAGGACGTGTGCTCACTCCCTCTTGCGAGAGCACTGGAAACACAACGAACTGCTGAACAATTATTGACAGGAAGACACTGGAACTCACCAAAAAAGATACCCCACATCCAAAGACAAAGGAGAAGCCACAGTGAGACGGTAGGAGGGGCGCAATCACAATCAAATTAAATCCCATAACTGCTGGGTGGATGACTCACAAACTGGAGAACGTTTATACCACAGAAGTCCACCCACTGGAGTAAAGGTTCTGGGACTCATGTCAGGCTTCCCAACCTGGGGGTCCGGCAATGGGAGGAAGAATTCCTAGAGAATCAGACTTTGAAGATGAGAGGGATTTGATTGCAGGACTTCGACAGGACTGGGGGAAACGGAGACTCCACTCTTGGAGGGCACACACAAAGTAGTGTGTGCGTAGGGACCCTGGGTAAGGAGCAGCGACCCCGTAGGAGACTGTCCAGACCTACCTGCTAGTGTTGGAGGGTCTCCTGCAGAGGTGGGGTGTGGCTGTGGCTCATCGTGGGGACAAAGACACTGGCAGCAGAAGTTCTGGGAAGTACTCCTTGGCGTGAGCCCTCCCAGAGTCTGCCATTAGCCCCACCAAAGAGGGGTAGGCTCCAGTGCTGGGTCACCTCAGGCCAAACAACCAACAGGGAGCGAACCCAGCCCACCCATCAGCAGACAAGCAGATTAAAGTTTTACTGAGCTCTGCCCACCAGAGCAACACCCAGCTCTACCCACCACTAGTCCCTCCCATCAGAAAGCTTGCACAAGCCTTTTAGATAACCTCATCCACCAGAGAGCAGACAGCAGAAGCAAGAAGAACTACAATTCTGCAGCCTGTGGAGGGAAAACCACATTCACAGAAAGACAGACAAAATGAAAAGGCAGAGGACTTTGTACTAGATGAAGGAACAAGATAAAACCCCAGAGAAACAACTGAATGAAGTGGAGATAGGCAGCCTTCCAGAAAAAGAATTCAGGATAATGATAGTGAAGATGATCCAGGACCTCTGAAAAAGAATGGAGGCAAAGATCGAGAAGATGCAAGAAATGTTTAACAAAGACCTAGAAGAATTAAAGAACAAACAGAGATAAACAATACAATAACTGAAATGAAAAATACACTAAAAGGCATCAATAGCAGAATAACTGAGGCAGAGAAACGGATAAGTGACCTGGAAGACAGAATGGTGGAATTTACTGCCATGGAACAGAATAAAGAAAAAAGAATGAAAAGAAATGAAGACAGCTTAAGAGACCTCTGGGACAACATTAAACACCACAACATTCGCATTATAGGGGTCCCAAAAGGAGAAGAGAGAGAGAAAGGACCAGAGAAAATATTTGAAGAGATTATAGTCGAAAACTTCCCTAACATGGGAAAGGCAAGAGCCACCCAAGTCCAGGAAGCGCAGAGAGTCCCAGGCAGGATAAACCCGAGGAGAAACATGCCTAGACACATAATAATCAAATTGACAAAAATTAAAGACAAAGAAAAATTATTGAAAGCAGCAAGGGAAAAACGACAAATAACATACAAGGGAACTCCCATAAGGTTAACAGCTGATTTCTCAGCAGAAACTCTACAAGCCAGAAGGGAGTGGCATGACATATTTAAAGTGATGAAAGGGAAGAACCTACAACCAAGATTACTCTACCCAGCAAGGATATCATTCAGATTCGATGGAGAAATCAAAAGCTTTACAGACAAGCAAAAGCTAAGAGGATTCAGCATCACCAAACCAGCTCTACAACAAATGCTAAAGGAACTTCTCTAAATGGGAAACACAAGAGAAGAAAAGGACCTACAAAAACAAACCCATAACAATTAAGAAAATGGTAATAGAAACATACATTCAATAATTACCTTAAATGTGAATAGATTAAATGCTCCAACCAAAAGACACAGGCTCGCTGAATGGATACAAAAACAAGACCCATATATATGCTGTCTACAGAGACCCATTTCAGACCTAGGGACACATACAGACTGAAAGTGAGGGGATGGAAAAAGATATTCCATGCAAATGGAAATCAAAAGAAAGCTGGAGTAGCAATACTCATATAGATAAAATAGACTTTAAAATAAAGACTGTTACGAGAGAGAAGGAAGGACACTACATAATGATCAAGGGATCAATCCAAGAAGAAGATATAATAATTATAAATATATATGCACCCAACATAGGAGCACCTCAATACATAAGGCAACTGCTAACAGCTATAAGAGAGGAAATCGACAGTAACACAATAACAGTGGGGCCTTTAACACCTCACTTACACCAATGGACAGACCATCCAAAGAGAAAATTAATAAGGAAACGCAAGCTTTAAATGACAGAATAGAACAGATAGATTTAATTGATATTTATAGGACATTCCATCCAAAAACAGCAGATTACACTTTCTTCTCAAGTGCACATGGAACATTCTCCAGGATAGATCACATCTTGGGTCACAAATCAAGCCTCGAAAAATTTAAGAAAATTGAACTCATATCAGGCATCTTTTCTGACCACAACGCTATGAGATTAGAAATCAACTACAAGGAACAAAATGTAAAAAACACAAACAAATGGAAGCTAAACAATACGTTATTAAATAACCAAGAGATCACTGAAGAAATCAAAGACGAACTAAAAAAATACCTAGAGACAAATTACAATGAAAACACGATGATCCAAAACCTATGGGATGCAGCAAAAAGAGTTCTAAGAGGGAAGTTTATAGCAATACAAGCCTACCTCAAGAAACAAAAATCTCAAACAATCTAACCTTACACCTAAAGGAACTAGAGAAAGAAGAACAAACAAAACCCAAAGTTAGTAGAAGGAAAGAAATCATAAAGATCAGAGCAGAAATAAATGAAATAGAAACAAAGAAAACAGTAGCAAAGATCAATAAAACTAAAAGCTGGTTCTTTGAGAAGATCAACAAAATTGATAAACCATTAGCCAGACTCATCAAGAAAAAGAGGGAGAGGACTCAAATCAATAGAATTAGAAATGAAAAAGGAAAAGTTACAACAGACACTGCAGAAATACAAAGCATCCTAAGAGACTACTACAAGCAACTCTATGCCAATAAAATGGACAACCTGGAAGAAATGGACAAATTCTTAGAAAGGTATAAGCTTCCAAGACTGAACCAGGAAGAAATAGAAAATATGAACAGACCAATCACAATTAATGAAATTGAAACTGTGTTTAAAAATCTTCCACCAGGGCTTCGCTGGTGGCGCAGTGGTTGAGAGTCCGCCTGCCGATGCAGGGGACACGGGTTCGTGCCCCGGTCCGGGAAGATCCCACATGCCGCGGAGCGGTTGGGCCCGTGAGCCATGGCCGCTGAGCCTGCGCGTCTGGAGCCTGTGCTCCGCAACGGGAAGAGGCCACAACAGTGAGAGGCCTGCATACCACAAAAAAAAAAAAAAAAAAAATCTTCCAACAAACAAAAGTCCAGGCCCAGATGGCTTCACAGGTGAATTCTATTAAACATTTAGAGCAGAGCTAACACTCATCCTTCTCAAACTCTTCCAAAAAACTGCAGAGGAAGGAACACTCCCACACTCATTCTATGAGGCCGCCATCACCCTGATACCAAAACCAGACAAAGATACTACAAAAAAAGAAAATTACAGACCAATATCACTGATGAATATAGATACAAAAATCCTCAACCAAATACCAGCAAACAGAATCCAACAATACATTAAAAGGATCATACCCCATGATCAAGTGGGATTTATCTCAGGGATGCAAGGATTCTTCCATATACGCAAATCAATCAATGTGATACACCATATTAACAAATTGAAGAAAAAAAACCCATATGATCATCTCAATAGATGCAGAAAAAGCTTTTGACAAAATTCACCACCCATTTATGATAAAAACTCTCCAGAAAGTGGGCATAGAGGGAGCCTGCCTCAACATAATAAAGGCCACATACAGCAAAGTATATATATATAATAAGTATGAATATATATATGATTCTTTTCCCATGTAGGTTATTACAAAATATTGAGTATAGGTTTCTGTGCTATACAGTAGGTCTTTGTTGTTATCTGTTTATTTTTAAATTTCTTTTTTATTGAATACAGTGGATTTATAATGTATTAATTTCTGTTGTACAGCAGACTAACCCAGTTTTACACATATATACATTCTTTTTTAAAATATTTATTTATTTATTTGGCTGCGCCCAGTCTTAGTTGCGGCATGCAGGATCTTTAGTTGTGGCATGCAGGCTCTTCACTGAGGCATGTGGGATCTAGTTCCCTGACCGGGGATTGAACCTGAGCCCCACCCCCCACCCCTCACATTGGGAGCATGGAGTATTAGCCACTGGACCACCAGGGAAGTGCCTATATATTCTTTTTTATATTCTTTTCCATTATGGTTTATCTCAGGATATTGAATATAGTTCCCTGTGCTATACTGTAGGACCTTGTTGTTTTCCTTCAGGGCCTTTGCATTTGATGTTCCCTTTTCCTAGAACATGCTCTATTTCAGCTCGAGCCGTCATAAAATACCACAGTCTGGGTAGCTTAAACAGAAACTTATGTCTCACAAGTCTGGAGACTGAGAAGTCCAAGGTTAAGCTGCTGACAAGGTAGGTTTCATTCTGAGGCCTCTTCTCTGGGCTTGTAGGTGGCCTCCATCTCACTGTGTGCTCACATGGGCTTTCCTCCAAGCGTGTGTACAGAGGGGCAGGGAGAGCAAGCTCTCTGGTGTTTCTTCTTACAAGGACACTAATCCTATTGGATCAGAGCCCCATCCTTATGATCTCATTTCACCTTCGTTGCTTCCCTAGTGGCCTTATTTCCAAATACAGCCACACTAGGGGTTAGGGCTTCAATCTGGATTTTGGGGGGATGCAAACATTTAGTCCATAACACTCCTCCATTGGCTTTGTCCCTACCTTGATTTAGCTCTTGGCTGTCTATGACATATCTTCCCCCCTTTTCCCTGTCACTTTCTGTCCTTCTGTTTGTTTTCTTTCCTAGAACTTAGCACTACCTAAATGATTTTACATTTAAAAGAATTGTGTTTCTTGTCTGTCCCTACTTCATAGATTTGTTCAGGATTAAGCGAGCTAGCTTTAATAAGGTATTCACTCAACAAATGTTTATTGAGTGTCTATAATGTGCAAGGTCTTGAACTAG